AAGGTGTAAAAAAATATGTCATTCAAAATTCTATCACGAAAGACGATTATCAGGATGTTGTTGAAAATAATGCAATAAAATATAGAGAAATGCATGTGTTTCGATCAATCATGCATGACATGTATACACAGTTAAAAAATAAGATTGCATTGTCGCCTAAAGATGATAAAAGATACATGATTCCAGGAGTATTTAGAACTTTGGCTTGGGGGCATAAAAACATTAAAATTTTGGAAGAGGTAGTCGATGATGATGAAAATGTAAATAGTTGTATGTATTCGCTTCAAGGTTTAGTTCGCGATGGGTATATATTGTTGCAAATGTAATAAAGAGTATTTAGTGTGAAAATGATTCCCCTACCAGCAGGAGTTCTCTTCCTCTCTGCAATATTTAATAATACTTTGTTTATAACAGTTGAACCAAATGTTCGAGAAACTTTCATATGTTTATCAGCTAACGATACGAAAAAATAAATGACACATGGCCTTCAGCATGGAAAAGAATGGATTATATGAAAAAAGGATTCTACTCCTACAAACTTGGAGATAATATTAAGAATTCTTTTGATGTGAATTACAAATTACGATTTTATTTCGTAGACAGAGTAAAAACAACAACAAAAGAAACAGAGTGGAATGTAATGTATACCAAACCATGTGAATGTCATTATGCTATTGTAATCAGCACAACTCTATTAATAGTTTTGTGTATTTCAATGTTGTTTTATTTCTTTTATTATGTATATTTAAATTTATATTAGTGTGAAAATAAAACAATGTATCTTTTAAAAAGTGTTTTATTTATTTCCTTACAATAATACTTTTTTTGAAACCCAAGAATTATGAGATTTGTCCATCCCTAGCCATTTCACATAGACTTGGTTTCCTTTACGTCGCAGTACTTTTTCCACTAGGTATACGTCTGGATGTTTCGCTTTTTGCAATTCTTCTTGATAGAAACCACCTTGAAATTCATTTTTAGCTTCGTAGATATAGGAAGCTATGGTGATAGCCCGATTTTGAACATGTCAAAATTTCATTAAATCTTGATGTTTTGGATCATTTTAAGCCTTTTTGGCAAGGTGGCACATTTCCGTCTGTGTGTATGTAAGTGTGTGTGTGTTTTGGCATTTTTCTGAGAAAACGGCTCGATGGAATTTGATGAAATTTTGGAAATAGGTATAAGAAGACGTGTAGGGAAAAGTTACGGAAAAAAAAAAAAAGAAATTATTATTAAAAAAAAAATTAAAAAAAAAAAAAAAATTTAAAATCTCAATAGGTTTCATTAGGACATATTTGAAAAAATTAAGTAAAAATTTGATGATAAGCTAAGCAGCGACGACCACTTAAAAATTTACACGACGTTGCTTTTTTTGAGATTATAGCGTTTTAGGGTGCTTATTGAAGATTTAATACGCCGGCTTGAGGTCCCTTTTCAGCAAAACACTTTATGCCTTTATGGGGGTAAACTTGCAAAAGGACCTTTAGGGTTTTTCACTTATAATAATAAAAATAATAATAATAATAATTATGAATTGAATAATAAAATAATGACAGCGAATATTCTCCCATGTTAATCGTATATATGGTTGGGCATGCTAATTTTTGATACAAACGGTTGCTGACGCTAGCAACTATTTTTTTATTACGCATGCATCATAATCAACGATTATCGCACGCTGCAGCGTGCATAAAATGATGTTTATGATGAGTCTACCTTTTCAAAGGTTTGCTATAGAAACGTTCGATCTACCTTCATTACCTAGATATTTACCTACATACCTGCCATTTAAATTACTACTTATCAAAATGAATGAACGCACATTTTTGAGATTATGATGCATTCGTAATAAAAAATAGCGTATGATATGCGTGTATAAGAGGGCATTTAAAGCCCTTCAAAATAGACCAGATAATTTTTCACTCATGCGTGTTTTCTTTGCAAATTTCACTCGTCCTAAGGACTCGTGGACTCGTGAAATTATAGAAAACACGCAATCGTGAAAAATTATCCGTAATTTTGAAGCTCTCGTGGTATTATGTGGTAGGTATTAACGCCGAAAAATGATATTAAAACCTGAAAAAATGTCAAGATTTATCAAAATGAATTCATGGTTCGAAATGACAATTAATGACAATGACAATCATTAATTAGGTAGTTATTTGTCTAGGAAGCGTTATGTCAAAAATTTGACATCTGGTTTTGTTGATCCTCCAAAATGTATGTGGTAGGATTAGTCAAATTAATTTTTTTGATTGAAAATATTTCGTTAGACCAGTTAGGTGTGTATCCTTTGGAAAATAATTCCCGATATTGACTTATCCTTACAGAATCACCAATTTTAAATTTTAGGTTTCTGGAATCAACAACTTTCATACCTCTATAAACATTATTCAAGAGAATTTTTTCATTTTTTCTGGTAACTTCATTAGGTTTTAAATTTGTTGTAGAATGTTTGGTATTATTGTACTCATTCACTATCTGTTGCAAAATATCTAGCCCCTTATAGTTTCCTTGCATACTAAATTGTTTCCACATTTTATTTTTCAATGTTCTGTTCACCCTTTCTACAATACTGGCATTTAAATTTGAAAATGTGCTATAGTGGTTGATATTGTATTCTTTCATAAGATTTTGAAAAATTGCACCAATAAATTCCGATCCTCTGTCTGATTGCAGATTCTTAGGGAAAGCTTTTGCATCAAATAATTTTTTTTTCATTGCTTCTGCTACATTTTTAACAGTTTTTGATTTTACAGGGAGGGCCCAAACATATTTAGAAAATGTATCTATAACAACAAGAATGTATCTATACCCCTTGTTAAATTTTGCATAAGGTTGCATTTCCACAAGATCAGCTTGCCATAAATCATTAAGACCTTCAATTATAATTTTTCGACGTTTAAATAATTTTCTGGCTGGTTTATGTAATTCGTCAACTACATCCTTCTTTATATCTGTCATTTTAATGATCAGAATTCAATGATAACTGGGCATTTTATTAATAATTCACCATAAAATTCAATGAGCTTGCTAGAAACGTCCCGTCTAAATGCTAATAAGTCTCCCTTTTTCAACTCTCGACCCTCTAATTTTCCACTTTTTCCATTAACCAGCAAAGTTATATCTTTTTTAGGATATTCTTCTCCTAATATATTTCCAGATTCAAATGGAAATCTATATGATGTCCTATTAATCTCCCCTGCTAAGAGGAAATTTTTTGCACTTGGATCATGTTTGCCAACAAATGGTAAAACCACAGTATAATACAATTTAACGTTTGCAATGTTAACTAAGTTGAGAGAATTGACATTATTTGTCGATGAATCTTTTCCATACTTGCTCAAAATGTGTGATCCGAACTTGTCAAGAGTCATTTTCAATGTGATTGGTTTGAAATAAGAAAATGGACTTTTATTCAATTATCCTAGCTTCTCGTAGTTCTTCTAAAATAGATACGATTTCATTTTGATGTCCTGTATATCCTGCCATTTGGGAAGCAACTAATAATTTTAACCTTTCTACTATCTCGTTAACATTGTCATAATACACAAAATCAATTTTTTATTAGATAAATTCAACATTCCCGATCCTTCCTGAGATCTTAGCGTTCTTTTTCTAGTTTGTGGTGGTTTTGGTCTGTCTGAGCTAGAAACACTTGAATATCTAGGTTTGGTAATTGATTTAATAGATAATCTTTTCGTCTATTAAATAGGGTTTAATTATTGTCAAATATTTTGAATCGGTGGTGCCTTGAACTTGTTCATTAGGATCATAATTTCTCCTATAAGCATTAGTTCGTTTCAAAATGTCCATGTAATCTTCCAAGTCTTTCGAGGTATAACCTACAGGCTCTTGAAAAAAAAGAAGTTCGTATAATCCAGGTGTTCCTTTATAAGTTATATTTTGAACTTTGAAATTTTCTTGCTCAAAATCGACCGTATCCCCGATTTTCCATTTTTCAGCGGCTGCATCATGTTTTAGACCATGAGTATGATCTAAATCCCTATCACTTTTAATCGATGTATCAACAAAAGATCTAACTAGGGGGTGAAATGTTTCAAGATACTCATTATAGGCTGGGGTTTGTGTCAATTCAAGAATATTTTCAGTTATATCTTCTGTGGTTGGTTCAGGTGTTGAAATCACATCTTCTCTATCCGTTATTTCAAAAACATCATCATCACCTTGCAAAAACGAGGGCATTGAAGAGGGTAGATATTTCTGATAAATGTTAGTTTGTCTTCTTTTTGGAGATTTTTTTAGGAAAGAATAGTCATATTTGTCTTTTTGAGGAGTAGAAAACAACGATTTTGGTTCTTGTTTTGTAGGTAGTTCCGATTTGATAGTTTTGATTAGTTCTTGTAAAGGTTCAATAATGGGTTTTAATCCCCTTTCCTGTCTAATTTGCATGGATGCTACATCTGATTTAAGTGCTTGATATTTGCGTCTTACAGCTTTTCTGGCTTTTATAAGTTCCTTAGCAATTTGCTGATTCATGTTTCCATCAAAAAATATTGATTTCAACTGATTCAAAATTATAAAGATGCATAATATATACTTTTAAAAGTGAATGAAATGATCAACATTTTTTCTATAACGTCCGGATTTTATGTCACAATCTTTATCTATCACTACAAAATCATATTCTGTTTCCCAACACAGTCCACATAGCTGCTTAAATTGTTGAAAAGACATATCGGTATTTACATGATCTTCATAAATATGCTTTAAATTTCTATCATCCTGTTTGAATAAAATCAATAAATTTGTGTTATCTCTTATTAATTGTTTTGGTACTGATGAATATGTTTGAGACAAATAAAAGCAATCAGTATTTAAATGTCTTGAAAAACAAAAAAAGTCTCTCATTATACTTTGATTCGTGCATATTACATCGTCAAAAATAATTATGGAATTTGGTTTAACCTGATTAGGTGCTATTATATCTTCTTTTGTTGATGATTCAAAATAATCTATTTCCTTAATTGAATCCAATAATGTTCTCAAAAATTCATAGTTATTCTGATAAAGAGACTTTGAGTAAACATAAAAAAGCATTTCAAAGATTCAAGTCTTCAGATTCTGGTTTAGGAGAGAAAATTGTTGCTTTGGGTGTGAGTGGTATCATGAAAACAAAATCAAAATTGGGGATGGGAATGAAAAAAAGAGGTGAAGGACTTAAACAAAAAAGGAAACCAGAAATCTCATTTCAATCAGCAGTACGGAAAACAAAACAGAAAATTGCTGGAAAAAAGTACAAAAATTTACAAGCTGCAGCAAAGGATTCCTTGTCAATTATTAAAAAATTTGATGTAAAGCAACCAAAAAGAATTATTCCTATTCCAAAATCAGGAGGAATTCTACCCCTTATTCCATTATTTGCTGGCTTATCTGCTCTTGGAGCTCTTGGTGGGGGAGCAGCTGGTATAGCTAAAGAAGATAATGACGCTAAAGCTGCTAACGAAAAGTTGCAGGAACAGAAACGCCACAATCTAAAAATGGAGACCATAGCGTTGGGTAGAAAGGGAAGCGGTCTTTATTTGAAACCTTACAAAACAGGATGTGGTCTATTTCTAAAGCCAAAAAACTGCTAAACATGCTACCACGCAAACCTCTCACGAATATTGGTATAAAAAAATACGTTAAGATGTTAAAAATTCCTAATTTTAGGGGAGTTTTTATGCGAAACAGGCTACCAAAACTCATAAATAGATATGAAAGTGGAGTTATTAATTTGGACAACCATTATGGACCAGGCACACATTGGACGGCGTATATAAAAAATAACAAACATATAAATTACTTTGACAGTTTTGGAAACTTGAGACTACCCACAGAGCTAATAACGTATTTTTTAAGTGATGGTAGCAAAAACAAGATTATTTATAATCATGATCAATATCAATTCTACAATACTGAAAATTGTGGACAATTATGTTTGCAGTTTCTATATAAGAACTCGCTATAATGAGTTTTTGTTATTCTAGAAACAAACATCATGTCATTTACAATAGCGCTTTCAGCTAGGAGTAACAAGCTTCATGCAGATTTTAATCTTTAATTGAAACATTTAATGCCATTCCCAACGTAGACGAAAAAAACAATAAGTTATATTATGGAAACAAAAATGAGTTTATTGAAATTCCTCCAGGAAGTTATGAGATGGAAGATATAAACAATTATTTACAAGAACAGTTTAAAAAGAAACAGATAACTTTTCAGTTGAATGCTAATAATAACACGCTTAAGTCAGAAATTGTATCATCTGTAGACATTACTTTCAAAGATGGAACTATCGGTCCAATTTAGTAATCAAACTCTGGAAGGAGACAGCACAGTAAAAGTTTCAGACTTTCCAGCTGAAATTATAAAAGTTAATTCTCTGTGTGTAGACTGCAGTATTGCTGAAGGATCCTACCTAAACGGAGTGCCAGTTCATCATTCATCAATTTTTTCCCAACGTGTCACCAGGATTCAAAATAATAGAAAGTCCACGAAATATTTTATATTTTCCAGTGACGGTCATAGTAATGGATAAAATAACAGTAAAAATAATAGATCAAAACGGGGACTTGGTTAATTTTCGAAACGAAACAGTCACTCTTCGCTTACATATAAAAAAGGTCGAATAATGGTAATTTTATACAATCAGGGTTCAACTTTCCAGTTACCTGAATCTGAAAAACCATATAAGGGTGAATCTGATGAAAAAAGGTTAGTAGGCGAGCTAACTCTAAAGGGTTAACAAGACAAAATAAGTTATTTCTTCAATCTCTCGGATTAAAAGTTTTAGTATGAATATACTGAACATTACAGAACAACTTTACGTTGATAATTCCATCACTCATTCTGAAATCCATTCTGATGAGCCTTACCTACCAACAAAATTAGGAAACAATGATGAAATTATAATTCCTGTGCACGAAATAGAAAAATATACGCTTCCATATGAAAGTTTTTTGTATATAGAAGGAAAATTATCAAAATCGGATGGAACTGTTTCAAAAACCTGTCAACTTGTTAATAATGGAATTGCTTTTCTATTCAAGGAGATAAGATATCAATTGAATGGGGTTACTATAGATTCTGTAAGAGACGTAGGTTTAACTTCTACCCTCAAAGGATATCTTTCCTTCAACGTAAACGAATCTAACAAATTAAGAAATGCAGTTTGGTTTTCTGCAGAAATAGTCGCAACGGGTACTACCACTACTACAACAAAGCAAAGAATAGTTGATGAAAATACAGGATTATTTAATGTCTGTATCCCTTTAAAAATATTAATGGGATTTTTTGAAGATTACAAAAAAGTTATATTATATGCAAAACAGGAACTTATTATTGTTAGAGATAATACAGGCAATAACGCAATATTAACCACAGGTGCAACTGAAAGTCCAAAGATCACATTAACCAAATTAACATGGAATATTCCTCATATTTCAGTAGCGATTCCACAAGAATTATCGATAAAAATAGCGACATTTTGATTGCTTTTCGTAGTTGGGAATTAATTGAGTATCCGGAGCTTTTAAAAACAAATAGACACAACTGGCCCGTAAAAACGTCAACCAGGGTAGAAACACCTCGTCATGTTATTGTAGCATTTCAAACGGAAAAACGAGATTCTCTTAACTCGAATATGAGTGAATTCGATGACATAAACTTGAGAAATATTAAAGTATTTTTGAACTCTGAGAGATATCCATATAACGATCTTAATTTAGATATAAGTAAAAACAGATTCGCTGTTTTATATGAAATGTATTCTCAGTTTCAAACAACTTATTATGGAAAATCTGATGAACCCTTGTTTGATCCTGTTAAATTTAAAGATACAGCACCTATTGCATCAGAAAGAATCTCTACAAGCAGGCCCCGTTGTTATGAGAGTAGAATTTGATTTACACAAGGATCTAGATAAAAATACATCAGCTTATTGTCTTATATTACATGATAAAGTTTTCAGTTATAACCCCCTCACCAAGGTGGTTAGGCAACTATAAAGCGAAAACCAGTGCAAATCCACCACGAAACCAGCACGAAACCAGCAAAAACCAGCACAAAACCAGCACGAAACCAACTAAAACCAGCACCAAACCAGCACAAAACCAGCATGAAACCAGCAAACCAGCACGAAACCAGCAAAAACCAGCACAAAACCGGCTAAAACCAGTGAAAACCAGCAAAAACCAGTGAAAACCAGTGAAAACCAGCAAAAATCCAGCACAAAACCAGCAAAAACCAGTGAAAACAATTTCTTAAATGTTGCGCCAAATTTTCAACAGCAGATACTAAGTTGTATGCTGATTTGTACTCTACGTAAGCTAACCACATCTTGACTTGTTTAATAAAGACTGAAGCTCACAGAGAAATTTATACGTCTTAAATACTATTTACTTAATGGTGGGAGGATGAAAAGACATTATTCAAGTCAAACTTTATTTTCCAATACAGCTATTTACAAATTCATTGCAAGCAAAAGATTCTATATCCTCAATAATACAATCAGAATAGAAATTTAATAATTCCAACATACAACAAATATTTGCACTATTGGGATTTTTTGAAGGTGAAATAATTTCATACAGATTATTCATCAGATCTCCAGATTTTGATGAGACACCACTCACTAAAATATTGTAATATTTTGAAAATTCTTGAAATTTCAACATATCATAGCGATATTTAACTAAATTCACCAAGTTCGAGAGTTCACTTATGGTTTCGCCTGCTAAAAAGACTTCATTGCCTCCGTCTTAACTTATCTTGATTATACAACTCACTGTAAATTATTCCCATATGACACGACAGGATTAAAAAGTGATAATCCTTCCCATATGACACGAGAGGCTTAATAAGTGATAATCCTTTTGCACGGTAACTGGTGTTTTGACATTTTTTGACAAAAAATTTAAATTTTTGATTCGTGAAATTATTAATTAATAAAGAATTGAAGTTTAGTTCGTTGTATAACCTTTTGAATACCACTCGATGTTTCAGGATTACCTAATACTTTTCCCTGACACTCAACGCGTTACCAGCAACACCACTCCTCCTTCGGAGTCGTGGTGTTGCTGCGTAACGCGTTTCGTGACCGGTAAAAGTATTATCCGGTAATCCTGAAACCTCTTGTGGTATTACATTCGATAATTCTTGCATCTCCCATATAGACGAAGTGGATTTGAAAACCATTTCCACGCATGGGTTGCCATCCGGTTTTGTTAGAGTAAACAAAACTTAGCATGATTCCTTGATTGTTTAAAAAAGATATCCATTGGTCTTCATTGAATATAACGTGTTGATTATTTTTAATTCCACTCAACTTAATCACAACTCCATATTTTCTCTCCAACGAAAAACCAACACTGATCCATTTACTTTTGGATTTATTTAGAAAATATTTTGTTTCACTGATCAAAATTCCCGTTCTCTTTCTAAACTGAACGTTGAAGTCGAATGTATCGTATCTTGTATCGTTTTTCTCCATAACTTGAGTATTATAAGCACTTTGCATTTTGAGATAATATTCAAACAACTGTTAAAATCGTAATGTTCACCAACGCTATAAGGATTCCTTAAATATAGAAATGAAAAAGGTGGAGGGATCTCATTCTTGTTAGAAAAGGTAATATAGAGTATCCTAACTCGACAGTCTCCTCCCACAAAAATATTATCTTTTAAATATGTTTGAATGGTAGTGATAGAAAATAGTTTCATTTGTTCATCCTTGGCTTGAGGTTGTATAAAAAAAAAAAAAATTTAAAGTTTGCAAAAAAATCAAACAAGAAAAAGATTTTTTTTTTTTTTTCAAAAAATGTGTTCTTGTGTTGATGTGTTGCTATCCCATATTAACGGGAAAAAGCAATTTACAGACTTCACCAGCGAAGAATTAAACATAATACCTTTGGATTACTTGATTAAAAATGCCAACCCTTTTGAATTACTGGAGATATGGAGTAAACTACCACACGACTACAAATCTGATTTTTCTCTACAAATAAGACTACCCTGTTTTTTCCACTACAATCGCCCAGATTGGAGAACCCACATCGATGGCCCAGTTTCCTCACAACAAGAATGTTATTTTTGTAATAAAGTTTTAAAATAAAATTATTTTTAATAAAAATCGTTTTTTTAATAAAAATCTAGTTAGCAAATTTTATTGGGTGACTTATAAAAATTTCAGACGAGAGACATTTGTTCCGATGTTGGTCTAGTAAATTAATATAAACATATGGTAGAACCGGTAAATTATTTGCCAGCACAGATGAGTAATATTCATATTTAGTGAAATTCCATGCAAAAACATTATTTTGCAGAGGTGTGTAAAGATGCGGGTTGCGTTTAATGTTGGAAAAATAAGGGATGAATGCTTTAATTAATTCAAAAAACCTATTATAAAAAGAGATTCTGTACATATTTCAGTTAGTTTACAAATATTTACGCGTCTAAAGCTATGGGAAAACCCAAAGCTGAAACTTTAAAAAAAATTGTTGTGTCTAAGGGAAAACCCAGTGCTGAAACGTTAAAATATCTTGTTGGGCCTAAGGTGAACTTAATTGAACAAATAATTATTTCACCAAATACTACTACTGAGCAAACTATACATTATCAAAATTTGGAAGAAATTGAGTATCAACCAAACTATGAAACAATTTCACCAGTAAGTTCACCATTACCTGATTTTTTTTTTACAAATACTGAATGTATACCAATGGATATTTTGCCTAAAACAAATGTGCAACATCTGCTAGAAGAGTTGGTCCAGTTGATCTCCTACAATATAAATGAAGTTCAAGAAATCAAGAAACAGATTATTGTCTCCCAGGACTTAAATAAAGTTCAAGAAATTCAGCAGCAAGAGCAACAGATTATCTCAGAGGACTTACATGCAGTTCAAGAAATCCAACAGCAAGGGAAACAGGTTATCTCACAGGAGTTCAGTGAAGTTCAAGAAATCCAACAGCAAAGAGAAAGAGATTATCTCAGAGGACTTACATGCAGTTCAAGAAATCCAACAGCAAGGGAAACAGATTATCTCACAGGACTTAAATGAAGTTCAAGAAATTAATAGAATCATCGACCGCGACTTGTTAATTGATGACATTAACCAACTACGCGGAAAAGTAACTATGAAACTAAACATGTATATAAATCAAGTGAACGAATGCAAAAAGTGTTTAAAAGTGCTTGAAGAACGAGAAAATATTATAAATTATAACTTGTTAATCGAACAAGAAAAGCTTTTAAAAAATATTAGGTGAATAACTCTTGAAATTGCTTGTGTGTATTCCCAGTTATAATTTACTAACACTAACAAAGATTTTTTAAAAACTTTTTTGTTGAGTTTCCCCACAGCTTTAGACGCACAATTATTTGTAAGCTTGAATGTATTGATAAATAATAAAAAATTAAAAAATATCCTTATCGTTTCATTATAAACTAATTTTTATTGGTTAACTTGGTAATATAAAATAGATTTTACCTGATTTTTTTCTATTAGGTAATCCAAAGAGTTAATCCAAAAAATTGCTTTGACACTCATTTTGTAATCACACAAACACACTTAAAAAAAAAATCACATTTTTTCAACAGCAAATATTCGATTGAAAACACTCATACATACAACGCGACCTACTTTTACTTGTAAAAATTTTAAACTAAAGAAGACATGGGTTTCGCCGACTCGATCGTTAAACCCTTAGATGTTAAACCAATTTGCATTCTTTCCCTGCAGCTGTTTTCGACCCAGGCAGAAAGGTAGACGCTCGCATAATAATTACAGGAAATAAAAAACGAGTTCATATCACACTTCCTTATTTGCAAATATACATTTTTATGACTAAAAATAGTAAATCAAAATTTTTTTAAAACCTGCTACTTTAACAAAAAATATATTGTCAAAAATAACATTTGATCGTGTCCATCTTCCTTAAAAACTGGTAAATATCTGTCCTTTAATTTTATTGCATAATAAAATTTTCTAACATAGGACAAGTTTCATTTGTTTTAGTCCACTCAAATAAACATTTTAAACAAAATTGATGTTTACACAAATTTGGTTGACTGACACCTTTTTTCTCTATGGTCTCGAAGCAAATGGGGCAATCATCTAGGTTTTCCATCTTTAGCTCCAGAAATTTATAGTATTCGCTCTTATTTTTTCTGGCACAAATGCTGGCTTTTGATTGGCTGCTTCTAATAAACCAGATATCAGCAAAACGTTTCAAGATTAGTTTGGGAATTTTGGGTTTTTCTTCATCTACTTTAATCAGAGTTCCTGGACAAAGGAAAACACACGATTCCTTCTTGTGTCTATAGACATTTGTTTGATGCTTGAATGGTTTATCACACTTATCACATTTAAACATTATTTAACGTATACTGCATTGAAGACAATACTTGAATGGTTCATATAGACAAAATTTCAATGATTTGTATAGAGAAAATTCAGTCTATTTATTTCAAGATAATTACAGGGTGGAGGGATACATGGGTAGGGGGATACTTCGCGGTATGCTAGTATCTTGAATAGTGGCGGGATACATGGGTAGGGGGATACATAGAGGGTGGTAGTATCTTGAGAGGTAGGGGGATTTCTATGAGGGCGCGGTAGGGGGATGGTGTCTCTTTGTCTCGTCTTTTTCTTGGCCCAGAACAGACCTAAACTACCTACTAATAAGAAAGTTTTCTTGAAGTCAGGATGTTGTAATATTGGGTCATTTATTAATACATTTTTACAAGTTTCAAAGCTATTAAGAAATTCTGCATTGTGTATTATTTTTTTGTCTTTTTTCAAACAAGATGTCATTGGTTTGGTCAATTTGGCAAAATTCTTTATGAATTTTCGGTAATAACCTACTAATCCTAGAAATGATTTTATTTCTTTCACCGTCTTTGGTATTGGGAATTTTTTTATTGCCATTATCTTTTTTGGATTCGGTTTTATTCCATTTGGTGTAATTACATGTCCTAAGAATTCGACTGTCTTGTGTAAGAATTCTGATTTGTCTAATTGTATTTTTAAATTAAACTTCTCGAGTCTCTCAAATACTTTCTTTAGATTTTTCACGTGTCATGAAGTGAAGTGGAAAAAATTATTATATCATCCATGTATACTAGACATATTCTATTCTGTAATCCTAGTAATACATTATCCATCACTCTCTGGAATGTCGCGGGGGCGTTTTTCAAACCAAAGGGCATTCTGTTAAATTCGTAATGACCGTTTTCAACATTAAATGCTGTTTTGGGTATCGAATTTTCATGCATCTCGACTTGATGAAAGCCAGAGGCTAGATCTAGTGTCGTAAAATAATTACTACGACCAAGTCGGTCTAATATATCCGTAATATTAGGTTATGGATATCTATCATCAATAGTTTTTTCGTTATTCTTTCGATAATCAACGACCATTCTCCATTTTTGTATGCCTGCGGCATCTTCTTTCTTAGGTACTATCCACACAGGGGATGACCAAGGGCTACAGAATGGTCTGATTATGTTATCTTCTAACATTTTCTTTATTTGAGAATTTACTTCTTGTTTATGCACATGTGGGTATCTATACGTTTTCGCGTGCACTGGTATTTCATCCGCTTAATGGGGTCATTTGCATATTCAGCATTTTCTAATAAAGTCATTTGCTCTATATTAAATATCTCAAACTGTTCGTCAGCGTAAGGTAAACTTATTTCCGCTAAGTTGTTTATGTTATATGGGACAATAATAGGCTTATTCATTAAATTATGTACTTCTAGAGCTACTGTCTCATTTATAACTCTAGCTATTGTCGACGGTATATAATACGTTGCATTTTTAATCGGTGGTGTAAGTATTTCAATGCCATCAGCTATATTTGTATTGAAATAACATACTTGAATTGAGTTGCTTGGAATCTCAAAATTTTGATTTTCGAAATCTGTTCTATATTGAAACGGAATTGTTTTATTAATTGAAAGAAGCATATTAGAAAAATCTATATTTAAATTATTTTCTTGCAATGCTTTGATTCCAATAATTCCATCAAAATAGTTATGGAAATTATTCATTATCATTTCAATGTTGTTTTGAATATTATATTCTTGTAAAATTGGGATATTGATTTTTCCATACGTTTTTCTTATACCCATGCAAGTAGTTAAATGGTTTCGTGAATTAATTATAGAATTTGAAAAATATTCTTCTGCGATTGAGGGTCTTATTAAAGAGGCATGACTTCCTGTGTCAATTAATAATTTACACGGTGGATAGTCTATTTGAATAAAAGACAGTTGGTTGATTTGATAAGCATTTGAAGTTTATCCAAATACTCAATAATAGTTTCTTTATTAGTTTTAGTGGTATACATAAGCTCTTGTACCAAATTCTGTCTAGAATATTGATCACCATACTTAATTCTCAACGCTTCTCTTATATCGGTCCATATTTGTAAATCAGGAAGTGCCATAAGAAAATTTCCTGCGTCATTTAATAATTTTGATTTTATGGCGGTAGCCACATATACTTTTTTGAGCATTTTCACCAGTATAGTAAGTTTGATAAAATTCATTGATGTTTCTTATGAAATATTCTAAATATTGGCTTTCGCCACTGAAAGGTTTGATAAGTTGTACGATTGATTTAAAATTTTCACTCATTGTTACGGTTGATCTTTGATTTTGGTTGTTACTTCTTGAATTAGGATTGTAAAGATGAGTTAAATTAAATTGAGTCAGGAGATTCTCGATTTCTTCTTCAGAATCTGACATATATGTTTCTTTGAATTGTTAAAGGAAATTATTTTAAAAATTTAGAAAAATTCAAAATTAAAAAGTTTTATTAAAATTAAAATTATAATTAATTATTCAGTCTTATGCGTTGCTTTTCTAAAAACTATTTGTTACTTTGGGTTTGTAAATTCTTTATTACTCTTTATTTTTGATTTCAGTCTTTTCAGCAAACCTTTTTGGAATTGCAAAAAGACAAAAATCTGAATTTAAGTCTTCTCAGTAAATCAAAAATTAGAAATTACAAAAGATCAAAAATCCAAAAATCTTAACTATGGAACACCAATTACAAAATGTATAAAGAGAAAGGTTGTACTTACTAGGCAAAGCTAATAACAGTAGTCTTTCTTCACACGTTGTTTCTTGTTATTCCTTATACTCAGTTAACCAATTCGAAGTGGACAGTATCTGGAACGTTTAATAGCAGCACTGATAATCCAAATTTCACTTTTCCGAAGAATTCACTTTTTCGAACTTTCTTCAGTCTTTTGAAATTTTCGCGACGGATTACGACTGTTACAACTCCCGAAACTTTTTTTTTTTTTTTTTACGGATATGCGCACTCGCAAGGAAATGTCCTATCACGCTCGAGAAGCGGCAAGTGCGCGGAAATGTCGGTGTATGTTGGTCTTGAAACGGTTCAGGTTGTAACCTGCAGGGAAAACCGTCGCAGGGAGTTTATTCCACAGCGATGCTGTTCTCCAGAGATATGAATTCTGATATAATGAGGTTCTTGGTGCCTCTAGTTTGACAGTAAATTCATGGTTACCGTCTGTTTGACGGGTTCGCCTGGTAGGTGCTACTCTCGGTGGAATCATACGTGCCAACTCTTCAGAGCATTTTCCGTGATAGTACCTGTAGAAGAGAGATAAATCGCCCACAGATCTGCGATGTTCGAGACCATCCAAGTTACTTAACAACAACGTAAGCACTCTGAGCATCTTAACGACTGCGCCAATTATATTTTCGATTCAGAAACTTGTATTTTAAAAAACATTTATTTTATTGATTAAAATAGAGAGGTGACAAAAGAAAATATTCGAATCAAATTGCTACAGGCTAAAGCCAGAAAACAAATGAACGCTACTTATGGGACGACATCGGCTTAAATAAACATTTAATGCCGACATAGCAATTTTATGTTTACTTTACAACAATGTATTTAAAAAGTCCTAGAGGAAAGGGGTAAGCACATTAAAGCATATAAAAAATATATAATTGATTATAAATCAGCGTGGCAATTGGTTAATATAACTGGTATACCTTGAGGTACACAAATAGTTTTTAGGTATCTTTTGATATTTTTATATTTTTTTTTCTAGTTTTGTAAAGGGGTGTCTTGACTTTTGTGGTGTATATAGTTTTAATGGTTTTAAGTATTATTTAAAAAGAGAGGTAAGTAAAAGGGTGCTTAAGTGTCAAGACCGTGAATTCCGAAACTTTTTCTGGATTGCATCGTTTTTTTTTTCTTCCTTCTTTGAATTTTAAATTATTTAAATTAAAAGCTATTTAATTGTGACTCAAATTTTGACTAAAAGAGAATAATGGCTAATTAAGGCAGTATTGATAAAATCGAGCAAAATTTAACAAACGCCAAATTAAAAACGATTCAAGCGCTGCATGCCATTGCTTTCGGTAGGGAAGGTCGCTCGCAAGTGGTGAGAAGAAGTGTGCGTAAGTTTACCGGGTTTGGTTTAGATAAAAGTTCTGTAGAATATGACGAAAAAGTGAATAAAGTAAAAAACGATTTGCCTTTTAATGATGTGATTGCAGTGTGTCATGTATTAAACTTAGATTATAGTGGAGATCAGAATGAACTGATCAATCATGTTTGTTCTTTTATGAATGATTTAACAGTTGAAGACGATGAAGCTGAAGAAGAACAAGACGAAGAAGACGATGAATTAGTAGAGGAAGAAAATAGTGAAGAAGAAAACGAAGAAGCAGACGAGGAAGAAGACGACGACGTGCCTTTAGCACAAATAAGAAATCAGAAAACAAAAAGTGGATCTTTCGCATTGAGACGTGGAAGATAGCATAAGAGATTTTAGTGGGAAAGAAGATTACCCAATAAACAAATGGATTTCTGATTTCGAGGAAATTGCAAATATGACGGATGGAGTAGCGAAAAAGTCATTGACTGGATTGGCCAAGCAGTTTGTTCAGTCAGAGAAAGGAATCACGTCTTGGGCTGTTTTAAAGAAAAAATTGCTGGAGGAATTTGAGGTTAAAGTCAGCAGTGCCCAAATACATAAGTTGATGATGACAAGAAAGAAAAATTTTAATGAGACTGTTCAGGAGTATACGCTTGTGATGCGTGAAATAGGTAGCCGAGCATCTTTGGAAGCCGAAGTTATTATTCAGTACATAATCGGCGGAATACCAGACGATTCTTCAAACAAAATTGTGCTATGTTCTGTTTTCATTTAAAATAATATGTTTAATCAATCACATTTAACTCTCTTCTTTTCTTGGCTCACTGTGTATCATTATTCATAAATTCAAGTCTAATAGTTTTGAGGCCTTTAAAGGAATATCGCGCTTGTGCGGTGAAAGAGGACAAAAAACTACTTTGGTGCTAGCAAAAATATTGCTATTAGCCG